GTTACTTTGCACTTTTTGTTAGAAAATGTTTATTTACTATTTATTCAGGTTTTTTTAAGGTATCTAATATTTTGATACTTAATTTCCATGATCTAAATATTCTTAAAAATTAAAAGTTTGTTGTCATTTGGAAGCGTGTAGGGCTTCTTGCATTATTATGCTGTTACATTATGATTATCTATTCAGTGGCATAAAATGGTCTTTAAAGGGGTCATATGATGCGATTTCATTTTTTCCTTTCTCTTTGGAGTGTTACAAGCTCTTGGTGCATAAAGAAGATCTGTAAAGTTGCAAAGACTAAAGTCTCAAATCCAAAGAGATATTCTTTATAAATTGTCAGACGCTCACAAAAAAGTATTCCTTTATTTTTTCGCCAAATTAACTTTCTTCAGATGCATGGCCTTGCCTAGAATAGAAAATGAGAAGTTTTTCTTGCAGTGTATTCCCAATGTAGTTTCAGTAAGATCTTTTGTCTTATTTACCCTTGATATCTAAGCAGCAGCAAAATGAGATCTTAAAGGGTTAAGATCAAAAATGAAAATCAGGCTGTGTTTTACTCACCCCCAAGGAATCCTAGGTGTATATGACTTTCTTCTTTAATTATATTAAAAATTGTCCTGGCTATTCCAAACTCTATCATTGCAGTCAGCGGGTGTTGCAGTGCTTCAGTCTAAAAGAAGTGAAATAAAAAGCGCCCAACCATTAAAAAAAAGTGTCTCACACGGCTCCGGGAGCTGAACAAAGGCCTCCTGTAGCGAATCGATGCGTTTTTGTAAGAAAAATATCCATATTCAAAACGTAATAATCAGTTGTAAACAGAAGCAGTTCCGGGGGAATGAAGTATGAGGTCGGCTTTGCGCATGCGCCGCTCAGAAGTGACCAATGTGGAAACGCAGCAGAGAAATCAAAACAAAACAACGGTCATGAATTAAAGTACAAAACGAGGATTTGTAAAGAAGAATGTCGGAGGATTTCGATATAAGCCAAGAGGAGACTGGTTTTCCTTTGCTGAAGTAAGGAAACTTTGCTTCCTTTGATCCTGTAAACAAACGTTGGTTTTCACAGGACTCACCGGCGCATGCGCAACGCTGAACTCGTACGTCATCTGCCCGGAACTGCTTCCGTGTACAACTGTTGGCGCAAGCTACATTAAAGTGATTATTACGTTTTGAATATGGATATTTTTCTTACAAAAACGCATCGATTCGCTACAGGAGGCCTTTTTTCACCCCCCGGAGCCGTGAGACAATTTTTTTTATGGTTGGGCGCTTTTTATTTCACTTCATTTGGACTGATGCATGCAACACCCGCTGAGTGCCATGAAACGGCTTGAAAGATCAAAGACAATTTTTAATATAACTCCGACTGGATTCGTCTGAAAGAAGAAAGTCATATACACCTAGGATACCTCTGGGGGGAGTAAAACGCAGCCTAATTTTCATTTTTGGGTGAACTAACCCTTTAAATATATGTTGTTGCATTTCAAAATGCAATATGATTTTATAGACAAATTTGCAGCTTCTAAAGGTTGTACAGGTGTTCAAACGCTCAGTCACACCGTAAAATTACAAAACAAAACAAAACAGACAGAGCAGTGAAACCTGATCTCTAATGAGGAAAAAAAAGCTTTTATTTCATTTTAGGACTGAGCAGTAAGTTACAGCTGTATTTTTGCAGATATTTGCAGACATGTGCATATTGTATAACTGATTGATGAATGTAGTTTCTCTATATTTCTTGTACAGCAGGTTAAATGAGAAATCTTAGTGTTGGATTTGGTTCAGGAAAGCCTCCGCAAACATTCATATAGAGATCTCTCATGTGCCAGTGGATATTCATGGCCTTTAGTAAAAGAGTTGCTCTGATTACTGGCCTTGATGTAAATACAGCACTGCCTGCAAAATTAGCATTACCAGACAAAAATATTTTTTGGCTCCAGTAGGCAAAATCATGAATTGACCGCATGCTTGTATGCATAATTTCATATTTTTTTATTTCTCTGCAATTCTCATTGTTTTAATGTGATTTATTGCTGCAACAAATAATTGTACGTGTCAATAGCTGAAGAAGCAGAGGTAGCTGGTAGTTACAGAAGACAACCGCGATCTTTCAGATGCTGATTTATTCAGTTGTAACCGTTTCATTCTGTTCTGTGTGAAACTAACTATCCAAACTGATTGGAGGATTCAGAGCTCGATGGAAAAGTACTGCCTCATTAGATTTTAAAGACGGTGTCCAATGTGATTTGTCATTTTCACTCATTTCTCCCACCGTCTTTCTTAATTTTTCTTCTCTTCCTGTGTCAGGTTTATGTTCCGTGTAAAGGTTGGGGAGCGTCTCTTCCAAGAAGCTTCAGCACCCAGTAAGAAAGCAGCGAGGCAGCTGGCAGCGGAGGAGGCCGTGAAAGAACTAATGGGAGATGGACTACTACATCTTAACAAGGTGAAGAGAAGTTTGGAGACCGTACAAGAAGGAAAAGAGGACTATTTGAAAGACGGGAAAAGGAGAATTTGGTGTGCTGGAAGATTAAACGAAATCTTTCTCTTTCAGCCTCCAGGTACTTTCTGCCCTCTGGGAGACAATGAGTCTCGGCCAGCGATTCCCACATGCCCCTCACTACCCCCTCTGACGGCAGCTGAGCTCCAGGCGGCCCATGAAGCAGGTGTGGGTGACCTTATCAACCACCTGAACAACAATGCTGTGTCCGGCCTGCTCGAGTACGCCCGTGCTCGAGGCTTCGCTGCTGAGATCCGCCTGGTGGGCCAGTCCGGACCCTCGCACGAGCCCAAGTACACGCGCACTCTTACTCGGTCACGTTTTTGTGATCTTTATGTCCTTATCACAAAAGCAGCAGGATTCTCATCTCAGTGTGTCTGACTCCCTGCTGCACGGCCACACATTAAAAAGATCAAATCAAATCATCTTACTTCTCTCTCTTTAAGGTTTACATACCAGGCTAAATTGGGAGGGCGGTGGTTTCCTGCAGTGTGTGCTAGTAATAAAAAGCAGGGGAAGCAGGAGGCAGCGGACGCTGCTCTTCGCGTGCTTATTGGAGAAGCAGAGAAAGCAGCGCGTACTGGAGAGCTCACGCCAGAGGTATTAAATTCAACAACTTTGATGGAAGTTGATAATAAAACTAGCAGTAGCTTTTAACTATGCATTAACTTGTGATTAACAAAGTGTCATTAAATATTGAGCGGTCAAAAACTTTAAGCAATACAAAATTAAATTTTGGTGGGTTTTTGCAACATGTGTTGCTATATTTGAAAAACTGCCTAGATAAGCTTCTGATAGACAGACCTGGCATTTTATGTTTGTAACTTTTGTTATGTAACTTTTTTTGCACACAACATTTACATCGCCAAGTGTTGCTTCCGTTCCTACAATTTGACTTTATAATGTTGCAGTTTACTGAGTAAGAAAACTTTGAATAGTATTTTTTTTAAACAATATTTTGTGTAATTCAATTATATTTAATCGGCAAAACAAATGTTAATTTCGGGCCCTATTTGAAAGGTTTTTACACATAAAATTATATGTAGTACTATCCCGAATTGTATTGTGTGTGTGAATTTACATTTAATTCCACTTTTTTATATATATTTATTTATAAATGTATATATTTTTGTTCATACCATAAATAATGTGTGTTTATTTTATTTATTTATTATATACAAAGCCAATTTGCTAGATTAGTGACCAGTTTTACATGATTTCTCTGTACAGTGGTCATTATTCAGAAATAGTTGACCGGAGAATGCTGCTCTTGACCATTCAGAAGTCTTCCAGAGAGATGTGCAAGATGATAATTATTCAAATTGATTTTGTATGTTTCAGCTGCCGGTATCGGGCAGTACGATGCATGATCAGATCGCCATGCTAAGCCATCAGCGCTTTAATGCACTCACAGCACGCATCCAGCACAGCCTTCTGGGTAGGAAGATTCTTGCTACCATCGTGGTGCGGAAAGGATCAGATACTCTTGGAACAGTTGTCAGCCTTGGGACCGGTACAAGCACAAACACATATAGACTTAAACACAGACACAGCCAACATGATGTGTGCACTGTAATTAGAGATGTGCTGTAATTGTTGTTGCCTTACGCCTGTAGGAAACCGCTGTGTGAAGGGAGAGGAGCTTAGCCTTCGAGGGGACACCATTAATGACTGCCACGCAGAAATCATCTCCAGGAGAGGCTTTATCCGGTATCAGCTTGCAGCAGAACTTTCTCTCTCCCTCATTGGCAATTGCATAATTCATTTTTCCTCTCATTCTACAGCTTTTTCCGTCTCATTCTTCAAGATGAAGGAGTCTTATTTCACAGTAGCTCATAAATATATTGACTTTATATTTAGTGTTCTGCAGATGTTACTGTGAGACAGTCAGAATGTCTTCTCATATGCCTGCTGTCTTTCTCAGTGACTATGGTACATTTGAGTTATAAATCATTTGAAAATATATATTAAATGTATTAATATTATTTTAAAATAGCCATTTGTGCTGATATGGCAATAATATGAACACATTAATGTCAATTAATAATATATTATCTCTCTCTATACAATTAAATACATTTAAATATGCACAAAGATTGTATATTTAAAATATTAATAATTTATATATAAATAGTTTATTTTTAACATATTATATTTTCATTCTATATATAGTGAATATAATTAAAATGCATTAATTAATTATTATTATTATTAATATCGAAATAACTTATATTAACACCGTTAAAATCTAGAAGAAAAATTGTTTGTGAGATGTGTAAAAAGCACCATCTATTAACTATTACAAAAATTATATTGATTTTGATCAACAGCCCTAAAAGTAGAATAATTTAAATCTACAGTGGGTACGGAAAGTATTCAGACCCCCTTAAATTTTTCACTCTTTGTTATATTGCAGCCATTTGCTAAAATCATTTAAGTTAATTTTTTTTCCTCATTAATGTACACACAGCACCCCATATTGACAGAAAAACACAGAATTGTTGACATTTTTGCAGATTTATTAAAAAAGAAAAACTGAAATATCACATAGTCCTAAGTATTCAGACCCTTTGCTCAGTATTTAGTAGAAGCACCCTTTTGATCTAATACAGCCATGAGTCTTTTTGGGAAAGATGCAACAAGTTCTTCACACCTGGCTTTGGGGATCCTCTGCCATTCCTCCTTGCAAATCCTCTCCAGTTCTGTCAGGTTGGACGGTAAACGTTGGTGGACAGCCATTTTTAGGTCTCTCCAGAGATGCTCAATTGGGTTTAAGTCAGGGCTCTGGCTGGGCCATTCAAGAACAGTCACAGAGTTGTTGTGAAGCCACTCCTTCGTTATTTTAGCTGTGTGCTTAGGGTCATTGTCTTGTTGGAAGGTAAACCTTCGGCCCAGTCTGAGGTCCTGAACACTCTGGAGAAGGTTTTCGTCCAGAATATCCCTGTACTTGGCCGCATTCATCTTTCCCTCAATTGCAACCAGTCGTCCTGTCCCTGCAGCTGAAAAACAACCCCACAGCATGATGCTGCCACCACCATGCTTCACTGTTGGGACTGTATTGGACAGGTGCCTGGTTTTCTCCACACATACCGCTTAGAATTAAGGCCAAAAAGTTCTATCTTGGTCTCATCAGACCAGAGAATCTTATTTCTCACCATCTTGGAGTCCTTCAGGTGTTTTTTTAGCAAACTCCATGCGGGCTTTCATGTGTCTTCCACTGAGGAGAGGCTTCCGTCGGGCCACTCTGCCATAAAGCCCCGACTGGTGGAGGGCTGCAGTGATAGTTGACTTTCTACAACTTTCTCCCATCCCCCGACTGCATCTCTGGAGCTCAGCCACAGTGATCTTTGGGTTCTTCTTTACCTCTCTCACCAAGGCTCTTCTCCCCCGATAGCTCAGTTTGGCCGGACGGCCAGCTCTAGGAAGGGTTCTGGCCGTCCCAAACGTCTTCCATTTAAGGATTATGGAGGCCACTGTGCTCTTAGGAACCTTAAGTGCAACAGAAATTTTTTTGTAACCTTGGCCAGATCTGTGCCTTGCCACAATTCTGTCTCTGAGCTCTTCAGGCAATTCCTTTGACCTCATGATTCTCATTTGCTCTGACATGCACTGTGAGCTGTAAGGTCTTATATAGACAGGTGTGTGGCTTTCCTAATCAAGTCCAATCAGTATAATCAAACACAGCTGGACTCAAATGAAGGTGTAGAACCATCTCAAGGATGATCAGAACAAATGGACAGCACCTGAGTTAAATATATGAGTGTCACAGCAAAGGGTCTGAATACTTAAGACCATGTGATATTTCAGTTTTTCTTTTTGAATAAATCTGCAAAAATGTCAACAATTCTGTGTTTTTCTGTCAATATGGGGTGCTATGTGTACATTAATGAGGAAAAAAAATTAACTTAAATGATTTTAGCAAATGGCTGCAATATAACAAAAAGTGAAAAATTTAAGGGGGTCTGAATACTTTCCGTACCCACTGTATACAACGTACTTGTAAACAAACAAACGGAAATTTTTTACATTTATTTTATAATGCATATAATGTTAATTTTATACACACACATACATAGATATATAATGCATGTATAAAATTAACTAAGCTAACTAATATATATATATATATATATATATATATATA